AGTAGGATATAAATAAATATATATATATTCTCCTTTAAAGTCATAAATATATATCTATTGTAAAATTTATAATAAAATTTTCATTCTAAAAAACTCAAAACTGTTATTTTTTTTGTCTTAAAATAATAAATATGTTTTTAATTTTATCTTTTGATTAAAGGTTTAAAAACAATTTTTATTTTATCTATTTTATATTTAAAAAATAAAAAGGAAAAATTTTATATAATAATATAAATGATTAAAATTAAGAAATAATCATATGATTACTAAAAAAAAGATAATCAAATGGTTAAAGTCAAAAAATTATTTTTTTAAAAATATAAAGGAATTATTATTATTTTAAAACAAAATTTAAATTTAAATAACTCTATTATTTCAAAACATTCAATAATTTTGTGCTAATCAAGTCAAAAGCTCGAGGGTTGAAACTTGGAAGGACGAATTATAAAAGGTTATTTATGTTAGTCCCACAAAATATTCTTTGATTTGGACTTTAATTAAGGATTTTTGTTTTTTCTAAGGAAAATGATTTTGAAATAATTTTTTATATTATTTTTTTAATATCATTTAAATAATTAATTTTTTTATTTATATAAAATTTATAATATTAAATATATTTATTCATTTAATAATATATAAAAATTATATTAAAAAATAAAATAAAAAAATTATACTTATAGCACCACCATTTTCTTAAATTCCCTTATCACACTCACACCATTGAATAATGCTATCACCATGCGTGCATGACCGAATACTTTTTTCTGTTTCCATCTATATTTATCCAAACTTTGTATGAGTTAGTTGAGGATCATTAATTCTAAGTTGATTTCAAAATTCCTTTTATTAATTTTTCTTTGAACTAAAGCTTAAGAAATTCCTTTTATTAAACGAGTTTCATTTCTTCGCCAAATTAATGAATCCGTGATTTCAAAATCATACATTGTCAAAACATCGGACTAACCATAAAAAGATAATTACTCATAGTTTCTTACTCAATTATAAATTTTTTTTTTTCAGTGTTCATTCTTTATATAACTTAAATAATAATTACTTCTTATTTAATTTAAAAAAATAGAAAAGAAGAAAGTAAAAACAATATATTCTTTAATTTTTCTCTTTTTGTTTTTTTTTTTTTTGAACAGATTTTACAAGGAGTTGGGTTCGAATTCCAACCCTGCGGAAGGAGAGAATGCACCATAAATGGTTATTGCCACTTGGACCAAAGGGATCGGTGCTCCTCTTTTTGTTTGAATAGGTTAACAAATAAAAATAAATAAATAAATAAATAAATAAAATGAAACCCTTCATTCACTTCTAACTTTTTTTATTATTCAAATAAAAAATTTCTTTCTCTCTCTTGGCTACCCTCCCATTAAACCAAACATACTTCTCATACCAATTCATGTAAATATGAATTTGAAAGCAAGGAAATAAATTGAATTTTTAATGTTTTTATTTATTAGCTTCACCATTTTTATTTATTGGTAAGAAAAATTTGTAAATTAAAAAATAACTACTAGAAAATGGAAATCAAGCTGGAGCGAAAAAAAAAAAGAAAAATAAATAAAAAAAAGACACACATGCAACCAAATAATGATTTCATAGCGAATCTGACATGGCAAGGTGGACCCACAGACTCCACATCCCAACACTTTGACCGAAATTACTCGGTTTTCCGAAATTACCCCTAAACAATAAGTCACGTCACTTTCCGCGATATAGCGCGAACCCGTTTTGACTGCGTTTGGGCAACGGGCAGCACCGTTCGGGTAACTCTCCCCTGCACGCTTTAGGAAAAAAAAAATGAAAGTATAAACAATCCTTTTCCTTTCTCACAAACACACACTCACACTAACTTAGGAAAGAGAAAGTCTTGAGCTCAAGAGGGAAGTTCATTTCTTTGTTTAATTTAATTAAAAATTTTTGTTTTGTTTTTTTTTTTTTTTTTTTTTTACAGTTGCCCAAAAGCTAAAAAAATTTCCCAAAAGAAATTTGAGTTTTTTGATTGATTTTGTTCTTGGGTTTTTTAGTTTTTAGGTGTTGGCTTTTTTGGGCATGCTTTTTGGTTTTCTGCACGTTAATGAGATGAGATCAAAGGGTTTTGATTTGAGGAGCTCTCTGGGTGGTAATGGTGGGATTTGGGAGCTAGGGTTTTAAAGCGTGTGGTGATGGTGGGTTGGAGTCTGCTGTATTGCTTGGATCTGAGGGTGTTTAGATTGAGATTGAGATTGAGATTGAGATTGAGAAGCTTGGCAGTGTGAAATTTCAGGGTGAGTGTCAGAATGGGGAGGGAGAGCATGGGTGGAGCTTTGTTTTTCATGGGCTTGATCTTGCTGGTGCATCCATTATGGCTTGTCTCTGCTAACGTGGAAGGTGAGTGTGTTTGTGTTTCTTTTGGTGTTTGTATCTGTTTCTCGCAATTCCTTTCTGTTCTGTTTTTTCACCGTTTTAAGAGTTTGATCCCTTTTTTACAACATGTGTTGACTTTTGTACATGGGGTTTTATTCTTTGAGGATGGTATGGTTTCATTCCAATCAGCAGTTTAGCTTTTTGCTTGTAGTGGGTATTTAACTATTTATTTGTGATGATATCACTGGATTATTCCTCTTCATCTCTTTATTTTGTTTCTAAGAGTTTAAAGTTCAAAGTTTGAAGTGCATAATTTGATGATATGGGTATCGATCCTTTTAAGCAGAGGTTATAGAATTTATGACATTCTTTGGAATGGGTTTATGAATTCTTTTGGAACATATCTTAGGGAAAATGCTGTTTAAAGAATGACCTTTATCTAATGCCCAGATTGTGACTCTTTGTGCCTCTTCCTGCCAACTGAACTGACTTTTAGACGCGTAAAAGTTCCGACTTTTAGACGCCTAAAAGTTCCGACTTTTAGACGCCTAAAAGTTCCGACTTTGATTTAATTGCTGTTACCATTTGTTGTATCCTACTTTGAAAGGAATTTCTAATTAGATTTGATACCATTTACTGTAAACCTTAGAAATTTTAGTCTCTGCAATTTTTTGATGATCAAGCAAGTTGCTTCAAGCAATGATGCATTCTCTTGTTTGGTGGATTGCTGGTAGTTGTGGTCCTTGTGGTTATGGGAACCTGTAGTTACTTCTGCTCTCATATGCGTTCAACCTTCTTGCTAATATTTTAATTGCTTAGTCATTTTGTCCACACCTTGAAACAGGTGACGCATTGCATAGCCTGAGGACCAACTTAAATGATCCTAACAATGTCCTGCAGAGCTGGGATCCTACCCTTGTCAACCCATGCACATGGTTTCATGTTACATGTAACAATGATAATAGTGTAATTCGAGTGTAGGTTTTCTTTCCCTTAATTGTCTTCAGAGTGTCTGGTTACAACTCAACATTTTAAGCTTGTTTCTTTACTGAATTTGCATTATATTTCCTGTGTGATGGCTATTTTTGTGTTATTTTTCAGTGATCTTGGAAATGCAGCTTTATCTGGGCAACTAGTTCCACAGCTGGGACTCCTTAAGAATTTGCAGTACTTGTGAGTCCAGCCTTGCCGTGAAATATTAGCATTTTCATTTCTTTGTTCCTGCAGTTTATAACATTCCAAATGTAGAAAGGTAGTCAGTGGTTTGGAAGGAATGTTGTCTTCTTCTTCTTCTTCTTCTTCTTCTTCTTTCCTTTTCTTTTCTTTTCTTTTTTCTTGCCAAAGGTGAACATAAAGGAGCTAGAGGGTTGTCAAATTCTGTTCGCTAAAATGTGATTGTGTAGTTGTCAAAACAAGAAAGTGAGCCAAACTACAGGACTCATTTGGTTGATATAGAGGATCATGCTCATATGTTCCATGGAGCAAGGTCACATATAGGTTGTCAAATGTTTCTCATTTCTTGTCTATCTACTACTGGAGTTTTCCTATTCAATATGATGAAGGGCATTCATATCTTTCAAATGATGGTTTCTGAAAGCAGCTTATTTATTCAAGTTTGTTTGACTTTTGCAGCTGTATTCATTCAAGTAATCCATAGTCTAGTCTTATGAGTTATTGTTGACATGTATCCCTTTAGCTTTCTTTGACATTCCTTAAGCTGTAATTTTAATGACAGGGAGCTCTACAGTAACAATATAAGTGGACCAATTCCCAGTGATCTTGGAAATTTGACGAGCTTGGTTAGCTTGGATCTTTATTTGAATAGTTTTACTGGTCCTATTCCAGAGCCGTTGGGCAAGCTGTCTAAGTTGCGGTTCCTGTAAGTACATTTACAATGTGCTTTTTATCTTTGTTATTGGTGTATTGCATGGGTATGCTTAGAACTGTGTACTTGATGCACATTGTAAAATACACTTGTTCTATAGCAAATTTAAGGAAACATAGAGAAGTAATTGAAGGAGCTTCAAGTTCAGCCTTTTAATGCATTCAACATCTGTTACATTTCTTACACACTCTTGTCTCTCTCACACAAAAAACACCTTGGTTGGTTTAGTTCTTAACATTTCTCATTATCAAAATGTTTGTGCAAGGATAGTCGGCTTAACAACAACAGCTTGACGGGTCCCATTCCAAAGTCATTGATCAATATCTCCTCACTTCAAGTATTGTGAGTACAAACCTAACCTACTAATTTATTGCTTCTTCTAACAAGCTATCCCTTATTGTTTCTTTTCTATGATATCACTTGAATTCAACTCGTATTCTTGAATTGCATTGTGATATGCAGGGATCTGTCTAACAATCATCTTTCTGGAGAGGTTCCAGACACTGGCTCCTTTTCACTGTTCACTCCCATCAGGTTATTTCTTGTTATTTGAATGATTCATATCTTGATTGACTGATTTTGTGTGCCATTCTCACCGTTTGTTGTTTCTTATGCAGTTTTGCTAACAACCCGGAGTTATGTGGTCCTGTTACTGGGCGCCCTTGCCCAGGATCTCCTCCATTTTCTCCTCCTCCTCCATTTGTTCCACCAACCCCAATTTCTTCACCAGGTGATCTTTCTAATGTCACTGTTTTGAACTTAAGTTGTAAATGCTTATATTTTTTCTGTACTCCCTGTGGTATACATCCTTGAGCATGATTTGTCAGACCTTTTACCATTATGTTGGCCTGATAATTGATTTACCATTGACATATGGTGTTCAGATTATTTCTTTGAAGGAGATGACATTCAAAATTTTGCTTGCTAATTTTTCCATTATATCAAATTTAGGTGGAGTTGGTGCCACTGGTGCTATTGCTGGAGGAGTTGCTGCTGGTGCTGCCTTGCTTTTTGCTGCCCCAGCAATTGCATTTGCATGGTGGCGTCGGAGGAAACCTCAAGAATTTTTCTTTGATGTTCCTGGTTAGTTTGCTTATTCAAATTCTCTGGGTTCAAAGTTCATCAAAATTCAGAAATTACCATCATCATGTGTTTCCATCTCTATGCAGCTGAGGAGGATCCAGAAGTTCATCTGGGGCAGCTTAAAAGGTTTTCACTGCGAGAATTACAAGTTGCCACGGATAGTTTTAGCAATAAAAACATTCTGGGGAGGGGTGGATTTGGTAAGGTTTACAAAGGACGCTTAGCAGATGGTTCCCTGGTGGCTGTAAAAAGACTAAAAGAAGAGCGCACACCTGGTGGTGAGTTGCAGTTTCAAACAGAAGTGGAGATGATCAGCATGGCTGTGCACCGGAATCTCCTTAGGCTGCGTGGTTTTTGTATGACCCCAACAGAACGACTACTTGTATACCCCTATATGGCTAATGGAAGTGTTGCATCTTGTTTAAGAGGTAAATCTCCATGATAGATTGTTACTGTTATTGTTTTTATCATTTGCTGAATTTTTTCTTGTAAGGAACTTTCCCCATAAACCAACTGTTCTCCATATTTAGTCATCCCATTATGTTGTTCTGATTAAATATTCTTGTAGAGCGTCCTCCATCACAACCACCTCTTGATTGGCCAACTAGGAAGCGAATTGCATTGGGATCTGCACGTGGTCTATCATATTTGCATGATCATTGTGACCCGAAGATTATTCACCGTGATGTGAAAGCAGCAAATATTTTGTTGGATGAGGAGTTTGAAGCTGTTGTTGGAGACTTTGGGTTGGCCAAACTAATGGACTACAAGGATACTCATGTAACTACAGCTGTACGAGGCACAATTGGACATATTGCTCCAGAGTACCTCTCGACTGGGAAATCGTCTGAGAAAACTGATGTTTTTGGATATGGGATCATGCTTCTAGAGCTAATTACTGGGCAGCGGGCCTTCGATCTTGCTCGGCTTGCAAATGATGATGATGTCATGTTGCTTGATTGGGTATATGCTTCTGATGCTTTCTTTTCCCATTTCATCTGAAACATGTTCTGATTCTGCTTCAAGATCTAGTTATGCCATAGGGTAAAGTGGGTAGGGAAATCTCAGTTTTGAAGAATATTAGCATTGTTGAATAGGATAAGACCTGCCAAGCCTGCTTACTTGTACTCAAAGGGAATGAACCTTGTTGAAAAAAAAAAAAAAGAGAAAAGAAAGAGAAACAAATAGAAAGCAGAAATGGAATCAGAGTTGTCATTTGATTACTGAGAAAAAGTATCAGATTCGTGGGAGTGGTTTTACAAACAGATGATTGAATATGATTTCTTGTAGTTGAGTTTATAATGGAAAGCTGTCATGAAAAAAATAGGTTTGGTTATTGTTTTTGATTTCTGCTCTTGGTTCTTCCAATTTTTCACAGTAACTGATGCAACTGACATCTTTACAGGTAAAAGGACTTCTAAAGGAGAAAAAGTTGGAAATGCTTGTAGATCCTGATCTCCAGAACAACTATGTTGAATCTGAGGTGGAGCAGCTAATCCAGGTTGCTCTGCTGTGTACCCAAGGCTCTCCCATGGACCGACCAAAGATGTCAGAAGTTGTGAGAATGCTTGAAGGTGATGGTTTGGCAGAGAGGTGGGATGAGTGGCAAAAGGTGGAAGTTCTCCGTCAGGAGATTGAACTCGCCCCTCACCCTAATTCTGACTGGATCATCGACTCAACAGAAAATCTACATCCAGTTGAGTTGTCTGGTCCAAGGTGACCATGGCACCGCAACGGTAAAGAGAGGAAAGTTTACTAGTTATTTTTGATGATTTTTTTTTTTTGCTTTTGCATTTTTAGTGACCATACCCTGATTTACATCTCCTGTAAGCCCATTCTGCATTGTATTCATTACATTTGTGCATACGAGTCAGCTTTGTTGAGATACATTTTGTATCTTCTGCTGCAGTTTGACAGGGCCAATATGTCATGTATATTTACAGCTGTGGCAGCCTAATCTACTTGCATTTCATGCTCTAACTTCTATTCATGCTTATTCTTTTGGGCAAAAAAGCACTTGCAAAGTGCAAATGTCGCAATGCCTGCCCCTTTATTATACAATCAAAGCTGTCATAAAAACCTCTTAGCCGGTAAAACAGCTTTAGGTACCGTTAAGTCTGCTCCTAATAGGGTCTTTCGAGAGTCTGATTGACTTGCATATGTACGAGTCTGATTCACCTGCCATGGTTGAAAATGGTATTATTATGTTAAACAATATATCTCAATTCAATTTATATGGTAAGACTCGTAAGTAGATTTTAACTCAATTCCAGTGGACAACTCTTCGGTATTTAGAGGCCAGAAATTGATTATCAAAACTGCAGATAAGAGCTCACGATATTCTATTGCTAGATGATTATATGACTGTTCCTATTCGAATGGTTATGTACGGAACATTTTTGTAGTTTCAACTCTGGAAAAATTATATAGGGTATCTTATTGAAGGTAGTGAAAAGCTTTATTCTATAAACATGGTTTATTTACACGGTTCATAGACACTCATCAACCTCACAAAAGCTTCGTAGCTGAATCATTGAAAATTCTTCATGCCATACTACCAAGTGTCTCAACGCCTTACATCTATAATACACTCACGCAATACTAATAACCTCCTTATTGAACAAAACCCAAAAAGAAAAAGAAAAAAAAAAAAGTAGGCAAAAAAGGGAATTCATAACTCTACAGAATTAATAGAGATGGAAACCAATTATAAAAACTAATATTGGCCTCAAATCACACAGGAAAACCAAAAAATAAGATGGAAGCGGACATGGAAGCCTTCGAGTTAATGGGTTTTTGGGGGCTGGGAATTATCAGTAAAAGAACCACATCCAAGGTTTGAGTTCTGTGCTGAAAACAGATTTGGGTATGCAAAATATGGCCCATCATCCAATGAAGGTAATCGCTGTGGCTGGTGAACTGCATGATCAATGGAAATAGGCGAGTCAAAACCCAAGTTGAGTTTCTCAAACGAGGGAAGACTTGAAAACTCTGGTTCTCGGTGTTTATGAACCTGATGCGAGTCCGCAGAACATAAGACCTCATCCTGATTACCAAAAGAGTTCTGATGATCACAATTTGGCTTCTCTGCACTAGCTGGTTGATCAGGAATATCTGCATGAAATGGGTTCTCATAGCTACTATCACTAGTGACCTGGTTATTCTTTTTCTGAGTGAGTTCAGCAATTCTGATCTGTGCGAGACTAGCTGCTGAGCGAGCTTCTGCTGCTGCACGCTCGGCAGTTTCAGCAGCTGTGTGAGCAGCTGCTAGAACATCCTGCAAGTCTATATTGGCCCCACTTTTTGTCCTTGAAACAGCAGGTGGTGAATTACTCTTTCTTGCCGGAGTCAATTCAGTAGATAGAGATGGAAGAGAAATGAATGGCAAAAACTGTTTATTTTCCTTAGGACCAAGTAAATCATCAGATATTTCCTCTTTGTTCACAACTGATCTTTCCTGTGTCAATGCCTCAGGCTCCACAAGTGGCACTTGTGACATATTTTCAGTAGCTCCTGAGTGTTTTGACAATTCCTGATCCTGATCAATTTCAGTGTCTGATACAACTGGTGCAAGTGAGCTGGCTGCTGGAGCTGATGCAACATTTGCACTGGGCTGTAAAATTGACTTAGGAACCTCAGGAAAATCCAAAGGGTCAAAGGCTGAAACAGAATCATGCTCATCATTGTTGACTTGATCACCAACATGCTTAAATATTTCTTTGTGTTTCTCTTCAGGAAGGGGCAACTTAGACCCACTGACAAACTGTGTTGGACCATTCTGGCAAAGAAAGAGAATGTGAGGCAGGATCAGCAAACAGGAATAGGAACAGAAAATAATCTTACTAACCAGTAAATCTTCATGTGGTATGAGAAACTCTGTTTCAGAGGCTGCAGGATCCCAATCTAACTCATGTTCTTCAGCAATTTCTTTAAGAAGCTTCAATTTTGATTCAGGTGAAGGAGCACGAATAGATAGCAGTTCTATAACCTGCAGTTTCAATTTACAATTTTACATGGATAACGTTAAACGTAGAAGAAATTAACAAAATTATCAGTAAAGACCAATAGCTCAAAAGACCTGACGGTTAACACCACATTCTGGCCTCAGCTCAGTAGCAGCTGAAACAAATTCTTTCCCATATTTGGAAGCAAATAGCATTTGAATCTGCAGCAACTCAGGTAGATCAGCACATCTTGGTGCTGCAAAACAGATGGTAGCTATTGCCTCTTTCAAGTCTAGAGGACATTCCCTGAAAAAGTTTTAATGCTTTAGAATTTCAATTTGAAAATATAGCAGGTTTTGCTTTGGGTAACTTGGTTTGTATATCAATTGAACTCTTAAATAAAGGATCTAGGAAATATGTTACTGATAGCTAATCATATGCTCCTTCTAGATTATGGAACCAGTAACAGGCACTGAACATCACAGACACACACTTGATCTGCCTCCAAAAGCAGAGTTCATCCTTCAACATCTATATTACCTATGAAAAGGTTTACTACCAAATTGCTAACCAAGAACAGATTCTCATAAGCTCTAGATTGTATTAGAGTTCACTTGAATAATGACTACAAAGACCATGGCAAACTGGCAGTGCAACAACTTTTCAAGGTGGGGTATTAAAATAAAAGGCCATATGCAATATTTATCCTAGAGAGGCTAGATGGTAGCCTTTTTTTACTTTGGTAACATAAAGGGGCAAAGTTATATTATAACCATGAAGTATTTAACTATTTATTAAATCAAATAACCAACAAACAGATATCCAAATAAATACTAATATACCATTACAGTCATGTTCTCCAATTCTAGCTCTTTTGGTTTAATAACCAGCTTGCATGATTTCCAAATCTGAAAGGTACTAATTTAAGGTTCCGTAGTTCAATCTTAGTTCAATCTAAACCTAATCTAAAATAGAATATGGACATTAATAACAACCCAAATTTCATCCTGTCAAACTCATATCAGTGATTCAATGGTGTAGCTATTAGAATGAAAATCAAAACTCAAAAAATATTAGAAAGCAAATGCAGAATGTAGTACACAGGTCAGCTTTCCAGTTCAAGAACCAACCTTTGTGTTTCAATAATAGGAAGCCGGACAGCAATGAGCTCACAGAACAGCTCAAGGATCTCCTGAGCAGCCATCATATTCTCTTCCCTTATTATATGCTCCACCTGAAACAAAATTATTGGTCACACAACTACCAGTAATTGCCTCTAAAAGAACTGTCAAGTACTTTCCAAACCAATTAGAGAATTATACAGATCTATCAAACAAATTCTAAGGAAATTCACACCCGAATGCGAGCAGTAGCTTCTTGACCAGTCTCAAGAAGCTTGGCAATGTCTCGGTGCATCTGCTTTATCTGAAGTTCTCTTCTGTTCCTCAGTAGTTTTATTCGCGGAATCGTCAATTTTAGTAAGGTTTTGCTGTACACACAAGATCAAACACAAAATCAAGTTAAAAGCCTTGAAAATGAAATTCAAACAATGATTTAACAGCAAAATTGCAAAGAATGCAAGCCCTGGAAAAATAAACTTTTAAAAAAAAAAAAAAAAAAAAAAAAAAAAAAGCTACGGCACTTCATTTCCAATTAATTTCACGAATTAACCTCGAATGCAAATCTCTTAATTCATTTAAAAAAAAAAAGAAAAAAAAAGACACAACAACAACACAACTACTGAGAAAATAAAAAACACAAAAAAGAGGAAAATTAAATCAATTACCATTTGGAAGCTTTGAAGCCCTTGTTGAAGAAGGAATCGAGCATTGACATGGTTGAATCAGGAGAATCGAAACAGAATTATGCCCTAGACAATCCAACAAGAAATTCGAAGCAGTGTATTATGCAGAAGCATTTATGGAGAGGAATGAAATTAATTAGGAATTAAGCTTTTTAATCTCCGATTGTCGAATGCTAACCGTAAAAACGAAGAACTGACGGAGTAGAACTGACCTGCCACCGGCACCGGAAATCGATCGGGGACGAAAACGCGTCGCTGTGTTCGTTTTTCTTCTCATTTATATTTTTTATTTTTTCTAAGTTGCTACACTAGAGTTGCTAAACGCAGCCGTTTACTATAACTAGAGTTATTTGGAAGTAAAATGCATAATAAAAAATTTGCAATTGGTTTACCATGGTTATAATTTTTTATTTTTAATTAGTGTTAATTTTTATAAATTTTTTAATTATTAAAAATTAAAACTAAAAATAAAAAATTAGATGAGTTTTAACTTTAATAAGAAAAAAATATAAACTTATTTAATAATATTAAAATTATTTTTATTCTTACTTTTTTAATAATTTAATAATATATTACAAAAACATATGAAAATAAATGAATGCTTAATTTAAAGTTACAAAATTTATAAAAATTAAGAACAACAATCATATTAAAATGAGGGTTAAATAACCAATATCCACCTTAAAATGGAGGGGAATTTTTTTTCGTGCAGTTATGGGCATCCAAAAGTTGTTCAATTTGGCTAGTGTTTATCTCTTTGTAATTTTTTTAAATAGTTGATTATTATATATAAAAATATTATAAATTGATTTTAATGGTTTGCTAGTTAAAAATAGCTAATAAATAATAAAATAATTGATATTTATTATTTAAAAAATTAAAATCAATCTATATACTAATATTTTAAAAACCATAACTAACTATTTACAGAAAAATATCAATATCTATGTGACCCTAATAATTTGGATAAAATATACATTTAACCCCTTATCTTTTTAAGTTTAAAGTTTTTAACTTCTCATTTTATACTAAAAAGTTTTTATCTCTTAAATTTAAAGGCTTAAAAATTTTAGCCCTAAACTAATGGAATACATTAATTTTCCATTAAAGTGAGAAAAATATTTACAAGCTCAATCCTAAAAAATAAAAAATGTAACAATTTAATTTCAAAAGTTTAAAAATTGAAAAAAAAATTAACAAACTAAAAGAATTAATTAATGACTTTTTCACATATACAGGACAGTATTAGATATTGGTAATCAAATCAAGCAATTATCTTAACTGAAGAAAGAATTCTAATTGAGATTAAAGAAAATTTTTTAGCTGAATTAAGACAAAAAAATATAAGAGATCAGAAGAATATAACCAAAAAATTTTCTTTAATTTCAATCAAAATTCTTTTTTTAGATTGACTTAATCACTTGATTTAATTGTAAATATCTAACACTGTTCTTGTATATCTAGCAAAATCATCCACTAATTATTTTTAATTTACTAATTTTTTAATTTTTAAAATTTTAGAATTAAATTGTTACATTTCTAAGTTTTGAAGATTAATTCTCTAAATATTTTATTCTTATTTTAACGAAAAATTAACAAATTTCGTTAGTCTTGTGGAACTAACATCTGACAAAGTCATCCACGAATTATTTTTTATTTACTAATTTTTGTAATTTTTAATCTTGTGGAACTAAATTGTTGCTTTTTTAGTCTTTAAAGACTAATCCCATAAATATTTTATTCTTACTTTAATAGAAAGTTAATGGATTCCATTAGTTTAACTGCTAAAATCTTCAAACCTTTAAGTTCAAGGGTTAAAAACTTCATAATATAAAGTTGGGGGCTAAATACATACTTTAGCCTAACAATTTAGTATGTCACCATAACCATAGCCTAGAAAAGGTAGTTAACTCTAATATAAATCCATTTAAATCCAAAGGAAATTACATGTCGTATTTGGCTTCTTAGCAAATTAGGATTTTGACAAACAAGGACAAAGGCACACTAGTATTATAGTGGCCCCTTGAAACATTTATAAATGACACTTTAACCTATGGTTTGAAAGCCATCATCTTTTTCAATCTTTTAAAGATGTAGAAATTCATTACTCTATTTGTCATGCTCCTGCTTTCCCTTACCCCCTGCCCTCTAGGTCTCTCTCTTTGCCCTTTTCTTATATATACACTTTTTCTCTAACGAATTAAAAGTGTTTGAGTTTCGAGGTTTTGTCTTAGGGTTTAATTTCTTTCTTATCAAGATAAACATATAGTTTGTATCCAAAATTATGAGTTAAAATGTGTGAATATGGCTATTGCTAGTGTGTTAGGCTAACCACCCCCATATCTGCCACCAAGGTTTTGTAGAGATGAACTCAACATAAATGATGTACCATTAGTTTGCACAGAAGACAAATGTAAAAGACTCTATGAAGCCTAGAAGTATCCAGACGCTGGTGTACTAAATGTTTGGGTTCTCCCAACTATGAGTGCATTTGTGTTGTGGCCATAGGTGAGTGCATTTATAAGTTTAGATCTTCTTCAAACATGTCAAGTTGCCTTCAAGCTAGCACTCAATCTTCTTTTCCAAGATAATATATTTACTTGAAATGTTGTTATGTTATGGTATTTATCAAGAATTCAAAAAAGATAAAGGGGTAAATCTCTAAATGGTTGCCATAAAAAGCTAGCTTGTCACTATTTCTTTTTTAATTGCATACATTTTTACATCTAACAAGTTGAACATGTTAAGCCATTTCCTAGAGAATGCATATCACTTGAGGTATTCTCTCTCTCATGCAATATTGCTATTGGTCCTTCTTAAGGATGCAAGCAACCCCAAATGCAACAAATTGATGGGTGATACAAAAAGAAACAATTTCCTCAACCATCAAAAGTTAAATCACCATTCAGAAAAACTTGGCCAAAAGACAAGATTTGTCAGGGACACAAAATTGGTCTTCAATCTCAATCACTTGATAACAGAAGTAAAGGTGACAAAACAAATAACTTAAGCCAATCATTTTCATTACCTCTATCAAAAGGTATTTTAACTTGAGAATATATCATTTTTCATATCATCACAAAGCCTCGTTTTCCAAGCTTGAAGGTGCTAACAACGTTATTTCAGTTGCAAAACCAAATTAGTCTATGTTAGACATAATATCCATCCATTATAGAACAAATTAATCAAAAAATAACATAATTCAAAAGCAACAATACAAAGGTAAACAAAGAGAATCATGGATAAGATGTATAGCACTTCAAGTTGAATATGATTCAATAGTACAACAAACTAAGACGTAATACTATAGAGAAACAATACATCTATAAAGTACTTCATCATCGCTCTCATGTTCTTCTTCATTTGACACAATCTCAATCCTTGGTAGCTCTAGCTTCCACCCATATAAAATGATAGACCTACACTTTTTAATTCAATATAATTAGCCTGCAAACTCTCTTCGAATCTCTGGTCACTACAGCTGAGGAACCAATTAAATAAGCTTGTTATTCCCTTGCTTTGTAATTTCTAATACCTGGGTTTAATCCTTGATTCCAAGCTATATGTAAAATATTATGGGATTTCCACAACCTCTTTCAATGGCCTTCCCATCTCACTCTTAAGAAAGTAATAGCCGTTCTTCATGCACTCAATTTGCAATGCAACCAATTGTGAACGTTTTACAACCATAGTAGCAACGTCCTTGAAAGATATTGCCCTTCCAAAAAGAAAATCCACCAGCTTCAAAATAATGTATTGATTAAGGCTAACAACCTATGGCATCTTCTCTATCATGAGAAAACCCTTGTAAAGCAATCTTGAGCTTCAGATTAAAGAAATGTTGTTGAGAAGATAACTTAGCTTTCAAAGGTAACCTAGGAATTTGTGGATATTGAGCTATAAGTGATGCAAGGAATTCCCTCCTTATGCTAAAACTAATCAAACAATACATATTAGGTATAATAGTTTCTTCAAGATTATAGCCCAGTATATAGGTTCACTAAACATCCTAGTCAAAATCTTCTTTAGTGATCCCAAAGAAACCAAATAATCCACAAGCGGCTTAATTATGGTCTTAACTCTCAACCCCCAAAAATAGGGATATTGTGTCACCGGAGAACCAATATCTCTTGGATTCACACCAATGCTCACTAAACAAGCAACTAAAGAATTCATTGTTCCTTCAAGCTTAAATCCTAAAAGCTCAGGATACTTCTATAAAACATATCCAATATCCTGCTTCTCCACATCAAGTCCACGAAGAAATTTAACCACTAGTGCAAGTTCAACGATCATACTTGCATGCAAAACTTGATACTTATTAACAAACTCACCTAAATTTGACTTGGAAAACCCAATTTTCTCTACGTAACCCAACATAGGTATTATGTTTTTATGCACAATGTAACCAAGCATCAGAGGATACTCGTTAATATCATCAATAGTCAAGCCTAGTTTCTACAAAATTCCCCACTCGTTCACTCATAACCTTAATGGTAGATGACAATTCTAAACTCTAACTGATCAGGAATTATCCCAAAGCTCTTAAGATAATCACAGAGTTTAACCCAATTGATTAGCTTCTCCTTTTTCCCCTGAACAACACCCCATGTAACTGAGGGCATCTAATACTCAGGAAACTTACTGGATTAAGTTGAAAAAGGAAAAAACCCCAAAACCCATAAAGGTTTCTCTCTTTGAGGATTTGAAGTAAATGGGTTCTACAAGATTTTTTATTGAATCCAAATCTAATGCCAAGAACCTCTCTTTTTTCTTATATTCAAGACTTTTTGCTTCCTAAGAAGCATTTCGAAACTTCAAGACAGCCCAATTTAGGATTACTCAACGATTTATTGATTTGAAGCAAATTTCAAAGGAAAAGCTAACAATTGTTGGAATTTGCTAGCCATATAAAGGTTTTATTAAGAGGCGCACCTCATGATAGAAAAAACTGAAAAGTGAGAAAGTTTGCTATTAGCTCTGCCGACACAAAGTGAAGCATGGAAATCAAGGTTGGGTGGCAAAAGGGAGATAAAATTGAGAAAGGCAAGCAAAAATATCTAGTTTTGGTCCTTCTAGACCGATTGTTATTACATATTCAGGCTTTTTTATTAAAGCCCAAGGCATTTTTCTTGGACCTATCTTGGACACTTGGCAAATGGGCTTGCCTTTCTTTCTTTCTTTCTTTCTTTCTTTCTTTTTTCTTCTTCTTTTTTTATATGAAAAAAGTTTTGTGCAGTTCAAATTGTATTAGACTGCACAATATTAATCATTGAATGAGGATTGAGTCCTTAATGTTGAAGGCCTTCCCTATCAAATGGTCCCTCTTTTGTAGTCTGATAGTTTAGATTATACTTAACTATACAATACTAATCATTGGATTGAGGTTAGGTCCTTTAATATTGGAAGCCTTCTCCTATCCAATTGTCCATGTTTCACAATCTAGTATAATGTGAACTATAAAATAAAATTTTCTTTTTATATAGAGAAAAGTGCAAATTAGTATGTCTTGACATTTAAAATGTCAAGATTACTTACAAAATTATGTAAATACCCTGAATGAATCTTACTTACATTTTGATTCATTAAAGATATTTCAATTTTTTCATTATCATTCTTATTATTTTAATTAAAAAATGTCCTAATTTTCGTCAATCTCTTTTATATATGCTTAAAAAGTTGTAGAAAATATGGATTATGGAGGCAAGAATGATAAATTTTTTCAGTAAAAAAGTATTTTTAAATATTTAATAGCTGAATTACATTTGAGATGTCATCTTTTCTCATTTCCTTTAAACCATAGTCTTGACCCAATTAATCAATGTTTTTAAGTGAACAGGTAATTGCTAAGTTCTTGTTTTTTTTTTTTTTTTTGAACAGTGTGAAACTTTCTTTTCCGAGGAAGGGAAAAGGGACATGGGATTTGATCCCAGGTTACATTAATCATACGCACGTCCACAAGGGGGTGGCCAATAGGCCACCATGTGCGGGACAATTGCTAAGTTCTTGTTGGTTCAATCTATATATCCAAAATGCATATTTTCTGAAGTTGTGTTTGGTATAATATTATTTTTAAAAAAATTTATGTTATTATTTGATAATTATTTTTTAAAAAAATTATATTTTAATATAATCATTAAATTATGTAAAATATTAATTAAAATTAATTTAATTATAATAAATTAACAGTTTTATAATATGCTATTTGAAAATTTATTGAAAAAACGATCGCCGGACACAAATCTCCTAGAAGCACTTGTAGGAAGCCCCAAAACTTTACGCCGGGGAAAAGGGGGATAAATTCATGTCAAAACCAAGCAGAAGGATACCAAAAATACTTCTCATCGTCACTGGTGATGAAAGAAAAAGAAAATGAATTGATA